TTTTTTTTTAGTTTTTCTAATCAACAAGCGGAAATAAAAAACGTGTATTCACGTCTATATACAAAGTAACAAAATGAAAAGTTTTTTAAACTAAGGATAAGGAAGAAATGACATTTTGTAGATTTAAATTTTAAGAAAACCAAGTTAAATTTGCAAGTTAAATTACAACATAAATTGCTTTAGTTTTCAATGTAAATGAGAGTTCTGAAGTGGTATATGAGGTTTAAGAGGAGGAGCAGGTTCATACCATTTTATAACAACAATTATAGTATAAGGCATAGAATATTAGAAAACAACATAGCATAATATGAATGCCACAGTAAAATCATGTGAACTGTTCTGGTTTTATAGAATAGTTAAAAATATTTTGTATATTCATCAAATTACATTTTTTGCAGTATTGCGTTTCGCAGCTATTGTTTTGCAGTGTTGCGTTAATGACAAGCCTGTAACGTTTTGATTTTGGTCCCCGCTTTTAAATTTGATTTTCGATATTTAATTAAAAATAGCTACAATATTAAAATATTGTTAGTACAGCATTGACAATACCATGATATAATGTCAGTGCAATGTGTTGCTTTCAAAAATTCTGAAAATAATCAAGTTTTTCTTATATATGATTGTAAGTTTATTTATGAGAACTTCAAAGTTTAATATAGTCTATACAAAATATTTATAGCAGATGTCAAATGTCAAATTGAAAAATCATATCAAAATTTCAAATGATGTCAAATTAATGTCAAAAGATTTGTCATGAAATTTAAAACAAAACTACTAATGTCAAAAAGAACATGATATTAAAATAAAAATTTAATTATAAAATTTCAACTTCACTAAATAAAATAATAATGAAATCTTAAATTCAGTCGTTGTCATGAATATTGTCATCAGTAAAATGTAAAAAAAATTCAATTACACGCCTAAATAAAAAAAAAACATTTCAATTGTAAACATTTCATTAAATTTTGTATTGTATGTATTAGATGTAGATATTCAAAACTCTTACCATAAATTTAACATAAACATATTTCCAGTAATAAATATGTACAACATGTTGTACGTATTTAAATAAATACATGTACATATTTCCGTTATATATAATGTATACAATTTAAAATTATTAAAAACGTATACATTATGTAATCATTTTTCAAAAATATTTGACATATCTCAGCATTCAATATGCCAATATCATTTAAAAAATTTTTTGTAAGTGAAACGAAAAAAAATTCAAGAAACGTGTGTTCATTTTCGTTTTACATAACATAAACATAAATAAAATATCCAAGTCATTGAATATCCATTTATAATTTGAATTTTAAAATATTTACTAATATTTTAATTGAAAAATTCAAATTTTCTCTCTTCTTCATTTAAAGTCAGTTTATTGAACTATGTTGATTCTTAGGTTAATCGCAATTTCATGTTAGCCAAACTTAACTTTAATAAATTAAAAATAAATACAGTGTATGCGGTCTAAAAAATTGAATTTTTCAAAATTGGCTAAAAATAAATAAAAAATTAAAAAAAAAAGGAATAGCAAAAACGCGTACAAACAATAAAAATTACATCCACTTTACTTATATACAAACCAAAGAAAAAAAAATATAAACTATTATGACAGTTAATTAAAAACTTATTTAAATGAGAATGACAAAAATAATAAAAATAACAATAGCTATTTATAATTTAAAATAAAATTACAATTAAATGCAACTGTCAAAAATTGATGTATAACAATTTTTGCTGACAGTATTAAAATATAGAATGTTAATTATGTTCATCCATAATAATTGACGTTTTAATACCATAGACATAAAATAATAATAATGGTGGAATTTTTTTTTTTATTAACTCATAATTTTAAACAACATCATAAAAACTGTCAATTTAATGTCAAATTTGGAATGCAGGAAACATGATTTATTGCTTCTTTTTTGGATTTATGTAATTTTATCAAAGTTTTATTACATTATTAAGTGATTTTGAATTAAGTGAGAATTTGGAATACTGTAGAATTCTTTACATTTTATTCTTAAAAATTGTTAAAAAGCATTTTATTAAAAATTAAAAATATTTTTTTTTAATTATGTAATACTACTATATTAGGTAATAACTTTAATATTGGATTTTCGAGTAATTACGTTAACAACCGAAAGGAATAATACCTAAGTAAACAAAGCAGCATTTTGGAAATAAAGCAGCGAATATTCAGGATTAAATCGAAGACAACAACCTTATTTTTTATTTTATTTACAAATTACAATATATACTCATCAAAATATTATAAAACTGTACTACCGCATATACAAAGAAAAAAGAAAAACAATTAAAATAAAAAATTTATTTTTAAACTGAAAATAAATATCAAAATAATTGCAAGCGTTCTTTAATTCTAAATTAATCTAAAATTATCACATATATTCATATTAACATTAATATAGAATCATAAAATATTATAAAATTTTAATAAAAAATGTGACACATATATTAAATACAAAAAATATATACAATAACTTAATTTAAATAATAAAAAAAATAAATATAAATAAAGTAAATATAATAAAAATAAAATAATAGCAAATAATATTGAAAGAAAACAGGAATTTTATTACAAGCAATATAAAACGAAAATTTTATTAATTTAATTGATTGACAACTAAAACACAAAATGTCAAGAATGTCAAAATATAGTGCAAAATTTTTTTTTTATATAAACCGTAAATGTCATCAATAAAATAAATATCTTATTAGCAATTTAATGTACCCTCTCTTACTATAATATGTCAAAAAACCTCAAAATTTGACATATACATAAACAGAAAATTGAAGTTTAAATTGTAATTCTCAATTTTTGTTTGCTTTCAATTTTTGTTTAATTGAACACCATTTTTCAAACATAATCAATAGTGCAAACATAAAAGGAATTTAAAGTATATAATTAACAAAAAAATCAAAACAAAATATAAAATTTGTATATCAATAAAATATTCAAAAATCGGGCTGTTTTAATAAGAAATTATACATGCATACTACAAAATTTGAAAATATGGAAATAATTCACAATTATTACATAACAAATACAAATTATATACAAGTATAACAAATAAAAAAAATCATAATACTTACATAATATACTTACATAATAATTAAATATTAAAAAAAAGCAGATAAAAAAACAAAAAAAAAATTTAATACATAAAAAATTTTTGCAAAAAGTGATTTGAATTTGAAAAAAAAAAATTATAAAAATAAAAAACAAAAAATATTTTTACCATATTATAATTGTAAGAATTAAGTGTTTTATTGTAGTAAAAAAAAAACAAAAAAAAAAAATAATAAATAAAAAAGTAATTTTTAAAAATAATTACTTCTATAATTAACTTTATTATACATACACACATACACATTATATTCAATATTACATTCAAGTAATAATTATATATACATACATATATTTACATTGTAAACGCACATATACTTTAATGTATATGTTAAATCATAAATTTAGTGATTATATACATTTACATACATATACATATTAAATATTATGTATGTGTATAATATATACATAAACACTTATATTAATATGTATTATACGTAAAATTACTGTTAATTATAACAATAAATATAATTAATATACATATACCTACATAATAATAATAACAATAATAATATGTTCATATAACATTATGTAAAATTATTTGATTTTTTATACAAAATTAACAAAAAAAAAGAAATATAAAACAAAAAAAAATTATATTATAAAAATGCCGTTATATATAAAATTCAAGAGAGATGAAAAAAAAAATTTACATACTTATATACACATACATACCTACCTATATATAATATAATATCTCAGCCGTATAAGAAAAAGTTTTACATAACTTTAAGAAAAAAAAATATTATAAAATCAAAAAAAAAAAAAAAATACACAGAGAAAAAGTAAAAAACCAAAAACCTCAGAGAAAATTCAAAAAAAAAAAGAATTATATAAAAAACTGTTATACAGAGCCAATTATGTTATAAAATGGGTTTAATTTTTATTTTTTTTTATAAAACAAAAACTTTAATACATTCAATAAAGCAAAAAAAAATTAACAGTTCTAATAACAAAAAAAAATATTAAAAAACCAAAAAAAAAAAAACAGTTGCGTTATAGTTTTAACTATTTATAAATTAATTATATAACAGTAAAATTACAAAGTTCTCAAATTTTTTCTTTCTAAATTAATACCACATACATACAATTTGAAAAAAAAAATATTATTTAAATATTAAAATAGTTGTACGTTGTATAAAATTTCAGACAATTATTATAAATGTTTAATACACAAAAAAAAACCAACAAAAAAAAAATAAAAAATAAAATTATGTAAATACTAATAAAACAAAACAAAAATAATATATATTAATTATTAATTTAATAAAATTAGTGAGAACTTTTACAAAAAACAAATTTTTTAGTTATTTAAAAACAAAAAATCTAATCATAAAATTGTGTGTATTTAATATTAAAAAATATAAAAACCAAAATTATAAAATAATAAATTAATAATGAATTAATAATAAATTAATAATATATTAATAAGGTATACAAAACAAATCAATAAATTTATGATAAACTCAAAAACTAATGGAAAATTAAGTGAAAAAAAAAAAAATTTATTTTTTTTCTCAAAATATATTGTGCATCAATGAAATTAATATTTAGACAATTATATAAATAATTATTATATAATAATTAATAATAATTAATTAAATAAAAACCTATATAATAATAAAAATAATTTGCGTTAATTTTTATTAAATTGTTATTTTTTTAATATTATATTTTAATAACGTGTTGAACAGTTTATTTATACTGCATAATTAAATTGACTATTGCTAGTCAAATCATAATGATTGAACAAATTGCAATTTCAAATGTCAAAAATTTCAAAAACCAAAAATAATATTTTAATGGAATTTGCTCGGAAATTCTTAAACAAAAAAAAATGTAACAAAAGTATCAAATTTAAAATATTTTCAAGGAATTAAGAAAAATTTTAATAAATTGAACAAAATTTAAATTAAAACTATTGCCAACATTTAAATAATAAATTTGACAAACTAAATTGTTATAACTATTTCTACTGAAATTTTGAATATAATATAGTAAAATTACTATAATTTTGATAACGTATATGAAAAAACTACATACATGAAAAAGGAAATGAATTTCTCTTTTTTTTTTTAACTATTGTGAATGAAAGATAATACACAGCATTTATTTAGTTTTGAAGCTACTACGATTTGTATTAAATTTAATTTTAAATGGTAATATTTTAAATTAAGTTAAAAAAATTGTATTTTACTTGCTTATTATTTTAAATTATTTTATTAAAATTTCAAAAGTTTGTAAGTAAATTTATTATTAAACTTTTAATTTTCTATCCGTTGTGTGCACTCATGTGTTGATGTGCGCATCAACTGCTTTATAAAGTCGCCATAATTTTTTTCAAAAGTAACTATAATTAATTTTATGAAAAGTAATTATAATTATAATTATTAATAATAATTATTTAGTAAATCTGATACTCAATTAACGAGCCTTTCTTTCAAAATTAAGTTGAATTAAAAAGTTTCTACGTTACTGTTAAGAAGATGAATTAAAAAGGAGTTACTGTTAAGAAGATGAATTGTAAAATGAACAGAGGTGATTTTTAAAATACCAAGTTTCTGATTGACCAAAAATCAAATTGTTAAAAAATATTCCTATTTAATTGGTCTTTTTACCAAAACTGTTTTTTTATTTTGATTAATTCATCAGATGTCATTGCATATTTTTAGGGGAAGGCAAAAAAAAAATATGACATAAATTATATGACAATTTAACAAAAACATGTAAGCTCATGTGCTATTATATAAATTTGGGAGGGCTAGAATAAGCCAAAAACTGACATTTTGAAAAGATAACTCATACAAGAGTAAGAAAATTTTGAAAAATTCAATAAATTGTTGTAAATTAGACTCTTGTTAACAAATTATCAGATCTTACAAATTATGTTGTTTTGACACAGTAAGTTGCTACTTCTTTAAAATGGTTAATGGGATATAATTTTACTTAATGGCAATTAGTTTTTATAACTAGTTTCGCTTTGTGTATAAAATTTAGGCCCATAAATTTTTTATTTGGAATATTGAAAAACCGACGCACAAATAGATGAAACAATTTAAATCGACGCACGGAACGGGAAAATGATCAGAAACCTCCCAGTCTTAAACTAATAAGCACCAATTTCTTTCTTTTTTCCATTTTTCTTTTACTGAACGAAAATATTTCGAAAAGAAAACAAATAATTACACATAATTTTTCTAATATTATCCTATTATTCTTAGCAAAATACCTGAAACTCATATGAATAAATTAAAAAACAAAAATTTTTTTAGAATTTTGTTGTCAAACAAACACACATAAGTAAAATGTTTTAAAATATCTAGAATTTTCTACAATGTGTATGCTTTTTTGCTTATTTAAACTCTAAGAAAAAATTCCTTAAAATCGAAAAATTAAAAAAATTAAAAAATATTTAGGTCAAACACATTCACCTATACCAACACGTTATAAAGTGGAAAAAGCCGTTCATATTTTGTGCACTTCTCTATAAATAAAGAATATTTTCGCCTTCGTTTTCTTGATGGAATGTTGATAATTATGAATTTTTTCTGTATTTGTTTTATACGAAGCCAAGTATCTTTTAAATACTTTATAAAAGAGTTTTTAAAAAAACATTGCAAAAACTTTTTTATTTTGCATGTGTTTGGAAAATTTGAAAAAAAGAGAGAGAGAAAAAGTACAAAAATCCAATTGAAACTTTTCCTTTATATTTTATTGATTAATTAAAAATTTCCAGATGTTACTTTTCAAAAAAAAAAGAGGAAGAATAAAAAAAAACAAAGAATTTATAATAAGAAAGAGACAACAAAAGTTACAAAGCAATAATATTAACACCTATGTAAACAGAAAAGCAGGCAACAAATCTGAAAAATGTTGCCAAGTAGAATGAGAGAAAAAAAAATTGTTGTTTTCCTTGATTTTCACATTTATTTGCGAATATTTTTATTCGCTTCAGTATTTTTCAGTATTTTTTCTTCTTTCATTTCTTCTTGATATTTAAAAAATAATGACTAATCACATACAGAATTTAAAAACAGAAAAAAAAATTTAAAAGCGCGAAAAATACTTACAAAACTCATCATCATTTTTTTCTTCTTCTGCTATTCCTTTTCATATTTTCAACTTATTTTCAAACATTAAAATGTACAAAACTTAAAAATAAATAAATTTAATACATTATTTATTTTGTATACATATATGCTCATGTAGTGTGTACATATGTAAATACTTGTTTTACATATCTGAATAAATAATAAAAAAAAATTTCAACCTATAAAAGAAAAAATTCTCATATAAAATCTTATAAATGTGCGTGTACGTATTCACATTGCTTTAATATTAATATTTACAACGGTTTCCCAACCATTTTTGATGACAGTGATATAAGATTACCATCTTTGAATAAATAAAAAGTAAGTACTTTGTATGAGTGTATTAAATCTCATTAGATTTGGGAAGGGAAGCTAGGCAACAAGTTCATTTCATGAAATTCCATTTTACTTTTCTGAATATTTATTTCGATAAATTCAGAATCCAAAGTTCATTTAATGTGCCTGTCACACTGACTTATTTAAAAAACCGATTCATATAGGTTAAATTATTGTGTGTGTAGTAAAAAATCTAAACAGTATTTTTTAACTGATAATCATTGTGCACTCTAATATTTGTTTTTCTCAACTAACAATGAAATATTATTGAAATTTGACACAATACTAATGACATAAAAATAATTTCTAAAAGGAAAAAAAATGTTTTAGTACTGTAGATGACGCTACAGTAGTTCAATTTTTATTAAATCATTATGCAAAAATTAAAATCTACAGGGCATGCGGTTGTCAAAATTTATTCTCACATTTTGTATCAGTAATAATGAACTTGCAGTGTGGAAACTGCAACAGACTCGAGTTTCAAATTTCAAATGAACATTATTGAAATTATAAATTTTTTTTTTTATGAATCAATAACAACAAAACTATGTTTTAGCGCGGCTCAATTCCATGATTTCGGGGTGGAGTGACAGTACGAAACTTTTGGCTACCTAATGCTAAACAGACTTGCAATATTGAGTCATAACCATATTGTTTATACCTCATAAAGGATTGTAATTACGCTGTCATTTCAAGCTGATCATGCCAAAATTTAGATATCTGACTGTCATTGTTAAATTTATGTAAAAATTTCTGAAATTGCATGACATTTCAAAATTTTAAACTATTTTAAAAACTTCATTAATTTTGAATTGATGGCATCCCTATATACAATCGACATATGTGAATATGTCGTAAATCTATAAAATTACATTGAAAACTTTTTTACTTTTAGCGTTATACAAATAATTAAGATAAACAAAAAAAAAAACTGTAAAGGAGACAAAATAAAAATGAAAAAAAAAAATTACCTTATATTCCACAAAATTAAACTTTTCCCGCTTCAACGTTTAGATTTTAAGAGTTCAAGAGTGTTAAAGCGCACTGTAGGGAACAAATATGATTTTGTACCGCTATTTATGTTTTATTTTTTTTTCGTATTTCTGGAAACAGCGCGACAACATTTAACAATTCAACAACAATTCTCAATACCCAGGATTCTCATTAAAAGAAATTTTTATTTTATAATTTTTAATTTTTTTTTTCGCCATTTTGTTTAAAAAATACAAAGTGGTAGAATATCGCACCGTTGATATTAATGAAATCTAATTCAAAAAATTTCAAAATCTGTTTATGGTTACATAATACATGTAGAATTGTATTATGATGTAAGTATATGTATGTGTTTTTGTTAGATATGTGAATGTATACATGTACATGTGAAATTTGTAAGAGAGTCTTTTGTTTTTGTTTTTTAGGAGGATGTAATTAATGCTCGTATCCGCGAATAAATTTTTATTTTCTTAATTTACAAAATTTCTTCTCTTTCTTATTTAAAAATTAATGTGTGTTTTTTTTCATGTGAAAAACTAAATTTACCGAATTTATTACGCGTACGTATACATGGAGGGTATAGAATTTTACCCACAGCTCATTCTTTTAATTTACAGAATTTTGTAATTAATGAGTGTATTAAAAAAATTTTTGGGCATAATTGTGTTGGCCAAAATAAAGAGCGATTAAAAAAGATTAAATTCTTATCTTTACTTTTATTTCTAAAATTAACTTTATTATTTTTATATTTTCAGCTTAAATTTCCCATCAAATCTCTTTTATTAGTTAAATTTTTAGTGGCTTGGAAGAATCACAAAATTTTTCCATTTGCACACACATATTTACTTTTAATTATCATTTTAATAAAAGAAGAAGGGATTGCACATATATGTACATACGTTTAAACATGTATGTCTATTTGGAATGTTAAATTGTTGGTCATTAAAGCAAACAGAAAAATTAAAATTGTAAATGAAGTAATTTTCATTTTCATGGCGGCGGCGAGATTCATTTAATTTTCATTTGAATAAATTAATATTAAAACATACGCATGAGTAAAAATTATTTACTATTTTCTTTGCTAATAAAATAATTAAAGTATTAAATTTGTAGTTTTAGAAATTTAAGCTATAAAACGAAAATTTTAACATATCAGCCGACGGAAAAGTGCCCCCATGGGCATTCAACTTCAAAATGTTACCAATTAATTTTCTTGTTAGAAAAAAAATATTCTATTTTGACTATTAAAATTTTTCCTAAAAATTTTAAGAGTTCAATTATAGGCACATAAAATTTTATACAAATCTATTATTTGTCGAAACAAAACAATCAATAAAGTCAGTTGAAAATATCATTTCTTCTTGTTAGTAGATAATGTAAGAAACTCGTAATAACCCATACTCATACTCACATTGTACATATTTGCCCACACGCCACAAAAGTTTATAAAAGTTGCCCTATATAATACAAATTTGTTTTCGAATTACTTAGGTAGATTTTTCAATATTGAACATTTTGAGTTAAGGTTAAGGAACATTTTTTCATATGAACCAAGAATAATTTTGTATAAATTTCTGCCTATGAGCAAGAGATGTCGCTTATGGTATTCTTGTATTTTATTAAGGTGAGCAAAATTTATATTTGCTTTGTACTTTGTAGAATTTTATAAGTAATTCTTCTGCCTGTTTGGTTAGTAGAACAAAAACATATAACCCTACTAGTGAAAATACATTTATAAT